AGAGGCTTACTTCTTCCCCCATCAACCTAAAGAACATTTCCAAAGCTTAAACGAGCACTGTATACAGAGTATATTTAATCAATGTGTATACCAGCATCCCAAAGTCGTAAAGCAAGAAGGGTAAGTTTAAGTTCTGCTAACAATGATCAGATGTGGCAAACACAAGAGAAGATGACAAGCTCATTTCCTCCACCCACAGTCAATACTAAAAATGAACAATGACCACTGTGGTAAACAAGGCATTTCTTCCATTTTTGCTTGCCAAACTTCTTTGCAGAAGGAGAATGCAAGTGTGGACTGTTGTATTAGATGTGCACAACCCTAGAATTATCACATTATTTTAAGTACGTTGGCCAGGGCTAGGAGTTTGACAGAAAGGGAGTATTTGAATGGCTCTGCACTGACCACAGCATATCAGCTGCATGATTTACGTATGTAGCAACTATTTGCAGTAGTTTATTTTTCCACAGCAAAGCCTGTGATGAGGCAAGACCCACACTTATTAACAGAGCAGACAGTCTTGGCAAGGGACACAGCAGACACAAGCAGTATCTGGAAAAAGGAATTTCCTTTGCCATTTGATCTACCAAAAAGAAAAGACACAAATATACACCCCTGAGTCAGTCAGTGGAACCAACCTGGAAGAAAGCAAGTGAAGAACTCGGCACCAATAGTCTTTGGGGCAGGAGAGACTGCATCACTTCTAAGTTATAATAAGTTCTAATGTGTTATCATGGAGCCAGAAAAGTAATGCAAAGCAAGTGGTCTACCCCAAAAAATTACACAGAAGTTCTAGTATTCAACTAAGTTTTCTTATACAAAGAAGAAGAAGGACCCAACCACAGTATTCAGATGATGACCATAAGTGTAACAGCCAGTCTTCTGAGTCTACTTTCAGAAACATCTGCAGACAATTTTCCTCCCTGGTGCATGATTCTGCATAAATACACAGCTCATGGTTCAAGGCCAAAGATGACCTTGCACCCAAGACACCTCTGAATAAAGAAAAGAAAGTTTAAGTACTCAGAACTGTAGTCTTCAAATTTCTAAGATTCCAGTTACAGTGGAAATAAGAAAAAGCTGTTTCCAAAATGGCTCTGTCAACAGAAAAGCAGTAAAGCTTAATAAAAAAAATACAAAAAATTCTTGACTATTTATCAACATTGAAAACATTATGGGGTGTGTTACCAACCAATAAAAGCTATGAAACAGAACAAAGAATTGAGAAAATGAGTCTGTGGTTTCAAGTTTACTTTTTTCTTATTTGTTTTAGAAGTGTCCTCCCTTCCCAAGATGAGTTAGTTTTCAGTTCTTCCTACCCTTTAATTCATCACTATTTACCACATGCCCTCAAACTAGGGGAGGAGGAGAGGTGGGTAACAAATACACAAACCCCAAGACACATATAAATGAAATCCGAAGGCCTCTCCTATTCATTGTATCCAAAACTGTCCAGAGGGATAAGAATGAGAGAGATGAAGATATTGCCACCTCTGGATTACAAGTAGGACTAATTAACACATTTTCACAACAGAGAGATTTTCTTACCAAGGCTCTCTCAAATTGCTCTTTCTGAACAATACCATTCAAATGTTAAGTTGCAGTGAAGAGAACATGCGAAACTACCCAAACTAGTGTTTCCAACAAGGAAAAAGAATTCCCATTACACTGATGCCTTTTCTTTCTTTATTTTTTTTTTAATTAGGCCTAGAGCATTAGCCTTATTTTTTCATTCCATGATCATCACGGATTTGTCCCTACTGCTATTTCAACTTTAGAGATACATAAGCAATCGTGGCAATATACAGATTATGCTTTTTGTATTGCTTTTAGGTCCAAATTAGTTGACAGGCACTCCTCTGGAGAAGAGCCTCTTTCTGTACTTGTTACACTATGAGGTGATGAGGCTGCTGGCAAGCAGGCTTCTAGCTGGAAAGCACATGCTTGTGTCACCACATGTTCTAGTTACCACATTAAAATGACCCATAATAGGTCTCCTGGAAAAACCAAGTAAAGCACAATTTCAGACATCAAAATAAGATGAACGTGCAGGAATCATGTGCTTAAGTATATTGAGAAAAGGACTTTTCAAAAGAGGAGCAAAGCCCAGTGCTGGTGTGCAGAGAAATAGAAAACCTTGGGCTGAAGAATCATCCCAGTTTAACACAGATACTCATGCATGGGTAAGTCAGCACACCATGCTCCCTAAAATGCTGGTTTGAGCCCTTCACATTTACTGCAACAGTAGGCAGCAGATCCAACCAACCCAGTTTGCTGAACTGAACTTTCCCAATATCCCAATACATTTTGGTACTGAATAAAGAAAGGTAAATATATGACAAATTTGCTTACAGAGTTTCACTTTTTTAATACATACTGTAACTGATTATTTCTTCCCTGTCTGCTCAAATACATTAGGGCTTTGGTTGCATTGATAATTGCTTGAAACAGTTCCTTTCCTTTAATTATTGCAGTAGGCAACCATAAAAAGAAGCTGTACAGAGCTGACATGGCCATAGGAGGCACAAACATTGTACAAAGAACATTATCCAAAGAAAGTTGAAGTCATAGTTAAAAATCTTAATCCAGTTAGCATCAGTGATTTCACTTAATAATGTTATATATCATTAATATTTAGGGATAACTTCTTCTATCATACATGTCTACCAAGTTAATAGTCTTAAAAAATAATAATAAAAAAAGTCACAGGAGTATTATGCATAGATTTACTTGCCATTGCATAGTCTAGAAGTTCTGACATTTAAGATTATTTGCGAATAAACACTCTGTATTTTGTCTGTATTTGCAATTTGAAATGAAACAGTACATGCTGCCTGTTTAAATTATTCTCAGACAGGTTGCCCAAAAAGATGATTTTAAAGATGCCCAAATGTGTATCAGCCTAAGGCCATATTGTACTTGCTTTCAGTTTCAAAGACCTCCTTTCATCTCTGAAGAATGGAATGTTGTTTACTGCTCAGGATGTTTTGCAATGTTATCATGAATGTATTACAAATGTTCTGCTTCTTGAACTAGAGAGTGTTTGTCAAAACCATTCTTTATTCTACATGAGGAGTCTTAAGCCTTTTATAAATCCTGCTCAGATATATTGGGACACTTAAAAACATTTAAATCCAAACATCCTTCTCAAGGATTGCTATCCTGCATAATTTCACAAAATAGAAAAAAAAAAAGGTCTGCATAGAAATGCTTTCTGGTAGCATGAAGCCTAAGAACTAAGCACTGGAATGCACGCTTGCATGCAAGAAACCAAAGTGGTTTCACTGTCAGCATCAGTTTCACCTACTGCCCTTACAAATCAGTCTATATGGCAAACATAACAGAAGCTGCTTAAAATACAGCAGGTAAATTTGTGACAATGGAATGTTATCAAGGTTTATGGTCAGTTTTAGGCATGTTGTGTCCACATTCTTTTGAAGTGGCAAAGTAAATCACCAGCTTTCAACAGCAACACTGTTATCTGCCTCACTTTGGCATAATCTCATGAAGCCTTTAATAAAGCAGACATACCACAGATGATGAGAAATAACTGAAAGCTACTTAACAGGCAGACTTGTTAAATATTCAGAAACAAATCCGGCATTAATTACAGAAAACCACTATGAAGAACAGGAATAGTTACCCGATAGAAGCTTGGGGGAAGATGAGAAAAGGATGGGGAAAACTGTTCTTGTGCTAGACTGTTTTTTTCAAGTTTTTCCAGTGGTATTAAAAAAAAATAACCATACATTTTGCTTCATGTGAAAGTGCATTTAAAAGCTTCAAAGAAGAGAAGAAAAGCCGCTCAAAAGCTGTGAACACTGCTTTCTGCAGCTTGTTTAGAGAAAGATTGCTTCCCTTCACTTGTGGTTAACAGGGAGTATTCAAAGACCTAATTCTGTATCCATGTCAGGGAAAAATAAGTTAAAAATTCACTGAAGCAACTCTATCTCACCTGCTTAGTGAGGCCTCTTGTCACAGTCCAGATTAAGAAAATACTACTGGACAGTTGCCACCACTGTCTCAGTTACAATGCAAATAACTGAAGACAAGGTCCTCCCAGACTCTGATATGTTAAAATGCAAGTGTTTTCAATCCCACCATCTATTTAAACTTCCCAGACAACAAGAATGAAAAAGACTGCAGGTTGATCAGAAAGGACAACTTTATCACCACTGCCTGCACACAAGAGTTACTTTCCAGGCTCCTGATCATTTTGATTATGTCAGACCAACCAGCCTGTCACTTGAGCAATATCGAGGCCTCATGACAGTGGGACAAAACTGGCTGTAACACCAATTTCTCCATCTCCAGCAAATATGATGACCTCTAACAGAAGTAGGCTGTCAGTCTCCTCAGGACTTCTGCAGCCACAAAAGCTTCCCAGGTACTGGGAACAGTTACTCTTCAGCATATTGAGAGATGTACTCAGAAAAGGTTTGTAAAAAGCACTTTCGGTATTCAACATGAGCCATAGAAGATGATCTGGTTTGTTTCAAGAAGTGAATGGTCTTATTGACTTATGTACAGCATTTTGGGATAACCTAGCTGGACTTACAGAATATTGGAGAAGAGTCCCTGTGCATTGTGCAGAGATAAATGTGCTCAGTCAAATGTTAAATCAAGAGCCATTTCAAAAGCCATCCAAACCAGGAACTGTGAGTTCACCTGTGGGGCCATGACAATTTTCCACTGTGGAAGGCCACCACAACTTGGTTATCCTCTCCTGTAGATGGGAATTTCTCGGAGTCATTATTTCATTTAGTCCTTTACACGCTGTGCTCTTATGCACAATCTTTCCTTTAACACACAATTACACCCTCCCATCAAATTTACCAGAAACAATCCTTTCAAGCACCAAACACACAATCTAGGTTTCTTACAGAACTCAACAAACCATTTTGTGTTAGAGAATTCCCACTTCTTCCTACAGGGAAAGGTAAATGCAATTCAGTATGAAGATGTAACACCATGCAAGTCATTGCAAGCCACGTCTGTACCTCGAGCCCAGATCCAACGTTTGATGAATCCAATGGTCTTTTCTTCCTTGGTCCAATGGCTGCCAAAGCTGTGAGGTTGGCTTCTCTTTGTTGCATCTGTGCTAATTCCAACTGTTGCATCTAGTTTAAAAAAAAAATATCTACATTAATTATGACACATATTATATTAAAGGCTCTTTTTAGAGCTGTTTCAGATGGCTCTGTAGCTCCTACAGAAACAATGTGTTTCACAGCATCGTTCCCCTCTTTCTGGTCACTTTTGACAAATTCCAGTACTCAGTCATGCTTGGAGCCCTATGGACAGCACTGTTTAAGTAACACCTTTTACAGAGACCACACTGTGGTACCAATGCAGCCTTAACACGAGCATTGCAGCTGCTTCCTTACCTCATAAGGTTTGTTGTTTCTGGTTAATGAAAAATCTTGGTCTGAACTGGTTTATGAAGCTGGATTAGTATTAAAAATTGAAGTTACCAGGTTATATGACCTAGTTTTATTCTTATTTCAAAATCTCAATTCCTGACTGCACAAGAAAGATACCAAATTTCCTCTATTACCTGAACTCAGCACTTAATACTGCCTTTGTAAAACACTGTACTACCCAATTTAACAGTATGCTGCTAGTTGACTACTATTCTTTCTTTTCCCAGCAAATATCTGAATGTTCAGGAACATCTGAAGCAAGGTAGAAATACAGTGCATGTTTATTTTCACTCACCTCCCAGACTTTTGAACACTAAGAAATCATCAGAAACAACCTTCATCTGAGTTAGGTAAACTTGGGATGGGATAGAAAACCACAGTAAAGAGGATAAAAATTAAAAAAGAAAAAAAAAAAAAAAGAAAAAAAATTATTCTTGCATTTTAAGACACATTCTATTCAATAATTATTGATGCCAGCTGCTCTGGAGCCCAACCCAGTCAAGTCTGCTGACAGACTTACTGTCTTAGATCAGCCACCTTGCTAATACAACCACACTGCTTCCAGATACACCAGCTGTCCAACTTGGTGTATGGGTGGAGAAGGAAGGCTTTCCAAACATAAACCTCTGGCTGATGTCAACCTTGGGATGGTCTGACCTGCAACTAGTATAGCTCTGTAGCCCACAAACTTAGGACTTAGAAGATTGTCCAGATGGGGATTCTCTGCATGGATGTGTGTCCACATCTTAAAAAAATTAAAAGTACAACCATACCATGGGTAGGAAAGCATCCAAGTTTCCTCCCTGCCCCCATCATAAACCAAATAAATTCCCTGGACTTCCTCACCCAGTCAATACAGATATCTTGCTTTCCAAGCCTGCAACACTCTATGATTTTGCTTGCTTTTCAGCTCTCAGAGATCCCACTTGGAGAGGAGAAGAGCAGCTGAGAACAACTGAGCTTGCAGTCCCTACATGGTGTAAGTCTCCTACTTGCTACCATTTAAATAGAGAGGAATCCACAACAAAGAAATACTTTGGGGTTCAGGGGGAGTGTTTTGGGGGAGAGAGCTTTTGGCTGGGTGGTTTCTGGGGGAGTGTTGCTACAAGCCTTACTTTACATCATGTAAGTAGACTTCAGTGATGGTAGCAACTTCACATCTGGTACTGCAACAACTAGGCTATTTAAAAAAAAAAACAGTATTTCAGGTCAAGATTCCAAAAAGGACAGTGTTCCCTGGAAGACTCAAACTGCTCAAGGTTTTTCAGCAGAAATCAGGGAAAGCGGGATTTTAACAAATTTGTTGAGACTAGAGTTTTTGGGGGGTTGTATGCTTCAGTTTTGAAAACAGCACTATTTGCAAGTCATCTTTTATCACCCTATAGAGGCTTTTATTGTAGTAGTACTTCTTCACACAGTAGTAGCTCTTCAAAGCTAGAAACCATCATTCACTTACCACACACACTATTCTTGCTTTTGTGCGCAGTGTACACAATTAAAACCTTATTTATCAAAATTCACTCAATTCAGTCAGCTTGTTTTTATCCAAATACACACAACTGCTTTCAAGAATACTTTACAGACTATGAACTTTCAAACTACTAGTATTTTGCAATTGTCTGAGGTTAACTCCAGCCAGCCTACTAGCATAAAATGTTTAAGATAAATTTTCCTTTAATCTCACATAAAGATTAAATATCATATCTTTATATTCAGTAACACACTCCAGCCAATCAGAGATGGGGGAAAGTGAAAATAAATTAAAAGAAAAATTTGAAACATCACAAATGGCGAAAGATTTAGGCAGGAGCAATAAAATGCTTCGAATAAGCATTAAATCTCGGCAATAAAATGCTGAGATTTTTTGGCAGAGGCAGGTGCTGACTTCCAGCCTCAGCTGCCCAGGACTCCAACACCTGGAGCCACCCATCCTTGCAAGCAGCTATGGAGTATCCCTGCAGAAGTAAAGCACTCCTTCCTGCTAGCAGTGTAGTTCAGTCATCATGATGGTCACATATACACCACAGTCTTCTTGCCATGAGAAGGGGCACTGCAACATGTCAAGCACACAGCATCCCTCTGGGGAAAGATTAAACTCCTAAAGCCTCCAGTGAAAAAGAAAACCAGAAGGGGAAAGATGATTTGCTTTAATTTAGGAACCATTACACTCAAAGTAGAACAACTTTTAAAACTATTAAACTTAAGACAAAGCAAAACAAACCAAAAGCCTTTATTAGTCTTCCATCCCTGGGAACCACTGGAAAACACATCCCCCATTCCCTCTCAACTTTATAATTACATATGCTGTTGATGGGCAGCAATGGTCAAGTGTGAGGACAAAAGGCAGAGCTATGAATTAAATACCAAGAGGGCTTTGGGCTGGCATCAGCAGGGGGTGGAAGGGACTGGGCAAGCTGAGGCTCTCATGATGCAGGACTGGCACCATCACCATTGACCCCATGGAATTCTAGCAGACCAAGCGTGCTGCTGGCACAGACTCTGCAGGAGGGAGCAATGCTGCTGGAGGGCAGTGCTGACAGAGGTAACAAAGGAGAGAATGACACTTGGGAGGCTATATAAAAAAGATGTGCTTTCTAGAAACAGAACTGATGCATCTTCGACCAGGCAGTTCCCAAGACAATGCTGGAATCACATGTCATTACCAACATCTGCTCTCTCCAATACATTTTGCACCTCCTAGCTAGTCAAAGGATTTTTCAAACCATAAAGAATCTCACCAGGGGTTTGGAGCAAAAGAAGAAAAAAAGTCATAATCTTGTTGCATTCCACACATCTCAGGGATTTTTCTGAGAACATAATTAAGACAAATGAATTTAAACACTCAATTTCTATAACAGACTCAACAGATCCCCATTAAGCGATATGGGCAGACATCCAAATTACCCAGTTGAAGCCAGCAAAATCATCTTTTCATCAAGTTTTGTTCCATTAAAAATTGCAGATTAAGTGTCTAAATATTGTGTGAACAGTTAAAAGCACAGGATAAGGAGAAGACAGGCAGATAATGTCAAGGGGTACCTGAGGATACTGGCTGGCTAACTACTCCCAGATTTTCTCAAACAAGATTAGGAAAGAGCAAGAGGTGACTATGTGGAGTCAAATCTTTCCTGAATGGTTAGTTTTGTAGCATATAAGTTAGGGAAGAAAGATCACTGCATAAGGGCAGTAAAAGTAGTATATACACTTTATTAAACTATAACATAGAGAAGCTGCATGGCTTCCCTTCTAGAGGTCAGCTTTATTATCATTGTTGTCTTTGAGTATGATAGGATACAAAGAGAACTGTCACACCCAGGTGAAATCACACCATCATACTTATCTTGACAACAGACTGATCTTCCTTGAAGACTGAAGTGTGTGATGGTAATTCCACAGGAGCAGGGGGGAGCTGCACCATACGTTGGACCCCCAAACTAGCAAGCTGCTTCTCTTCCATCACAACACAAGAACCCAACACATGCCCTATTCAAAATTCATTCCCCAAGAAGGGCATTATGAAGGGATGGGTTACAGGCAAGTGGCAAATGAATGTTCATGCTTCCTTCCTCCCCTTTCCGATTTCACATACACTCAGAATTGCAGTACAAAGAGTTCTAAAAACCTGTGTATAAAGATCAAATTGCTACGAAAACGTCTCAGAACTTGTAAAATAGTCTTTGTTGCTGCTGGCCTTTTTAATAATAAAAATAGGGTTTAAAGTCTGGTCTTCCAGCAAGCCGGAATCTCTAGGGTGACACAATAACCATTTTAGTTAATCTGACCTGCAGCAGAAATCAGGAAATAAGGTACATTTTAAAGTCCTTCTGTATAGTGAAATGGCATTTGCAGCATGGCTGTAATCACACAAAATGAAAGGTTTTAAAATTGACCTCTCTGTTCTTCACTCAATCCTCTGAGAAAAGGATTTTTTTCCTGCTCACAGAAACTCTCTCACGTCTCATACACCACATTTCAGAAAATACGCAAAATCTATTTTACTGTTACACCAATGACATTTTTGAGGCACTTTAATATTAAAAAATTTCAAGCTGGATAAGAAGACAAGAAGTACTTCAACTATGAGATGCTGAAACTTTTACTTAAAGCAATACTGCAGATTGGTTTTAAACTCTTTTGGTTACGAAGAACACGACAATGTGGTTGCCTGCCTTATCAGAGCCTCAATAATGCAAGTTATGCAAATCTCGAGGCTTTCCCTAAAGATAAAGAATCCCTTAAATCCCACAAATGATGAAAAGTATACATTGCTACAAATAAAGTCAGCTAATTCACAGCAGCTAATCCATGATGTGTACAGTAGAGGGTGGCTGTATTATCAAAGGTAGGGAAAAATTGTGTTACCTAGCTGAATACAAGTTCACCTTGGAAAAAAGAGTAGATTAAAGTCTTCATGTCTGATCACACAGTACCCAGGACAGGATTCAGGTATTTGATATAAGCTTTCATAATGGACAAAGTACATGAAACATTTGCTCTAGATCCTCAGAAAATGGTTTTACCAGGGAAGGTTTTTCAACAGGTAGAGATGAGATCACCTGTCTTAGCCAGGGCTCACAGGGCAGTAACAGGACTGAGGTTAAAGAAAATCCAGACAGGCGGCCCTTGTCCAGCAGATGACACACCAGCATTGTGTTGGCATGAGAAATTCATACCACTGTCTGCTTCTGCAGGCACTT